GTGCGATTTATAACAGATTCCTTCACACGTTTAGGGCCATATGCGACAGAATATGGTTAGAGCAACATGCATCTGCATATAAAGAGCCGAGTTTACCAATAATTGATGGACCGTGATTATATCAATTACGACTGCGATCGAATATGGTATCCGAACTGCTTATTAGGTTGTGGTCTCCTATAAACGCAGTTGGGCTTACCAATTTTCTAAGTATTTAAAAATACTGCATTTTACTTAAATTGATTTACGGAAACTCAATAGGTAAATAAAAAATCTATTTTAAATTGAATTTAATTGAACTTAATAGGTGTTAATTTTATTCTTTCAGATATATTGTATTGTGTTCCATATTATATACGTCTATAACTTCAAAAATAACTATAAAACTATGCCAACCCAAAATATAGTACCAATCTACAAATACTAGTACAGTGCCATTAACAGCTCTAGCCAAAGGCTACCATGAAATCGCGTTTCTCACCGTGGGGCATGGGGCAAACACGTTTCTGCGCCCGTGTCAATAGCAATAGTTGATCAGACTTCTGTGCCATTTTCGACCGAAACAATCTCACGCTTAACGCAATGCTAAGCAACACATTTAACCAAGTAGTAGCCGGTTCACAATAGTAGTCTACAAACAATGCTTGTGTTAAATTTATTGTTTATGATGCTCATAATTATAAAAACTAGAGACTAAGAAGAAAGCTGGTCTGCCACTCAATGCATGAAGGAGACAATGATACTATATTCGTACAGTACATAGCGGAACGCGCGCTATTCGCGACTTATGCCAATTATAGGAGACAACAGCCTTAGATAAACGTTCTATTTCACGTCATTAGAGTCATATTTCTGTCAAGTTAACGTCACTTCAAGGCTTCGGAATGTCCGGAGACCGTTAATCGCTTCAAACGCTAACTATTCGCTAGGAACTTTGACATAATAGGGGAAACTAGTTTAGTTTAGTATTATGTGCGTTTTCGTCGAACATTTTTGTAAACTATTTCGAGAATATGTTGATCGGCTCCTAATAAAGAACGTGAGAAACATTCACTTTATCTCCAGCCGTTGCGTACCTATTGGGATGCTTAGGAATTCTCTTATGAGAAATGCGCTTTTTTTACCGGCTTCAATATTATTAAATTTAAAGTTAAAAATAATTTTCAAATAAGTTTAACTAATATATCGCGTTTTAAACCGTTAAAGTGTAGTATTTAAATTAATAATTAGGGGTTTTAAAGCCTTGCAGCAGCCGTTTGACAGGTTCGTTAAGTACTCGATAGCTAATGATCTTCACGTCGTGGGTACAATTCGTTTCTCATTAATATAAAGTTTTGCTGAAAAGTGTCGGTGTTCTCTGGATTCTGGAAAATCTTGATATTAAATGGATGGTAGGGATATTGGAATTCTGTCCGGGTTCCGAACCTTTATCCTCGTTGAAAAAGCCGTGCTTATCCTCTTTTATCCTAAACAAGGTAGAATTGAATATTTTTTAAATCTAAACCGAAGATTTTAATTCTTTAACACCGACCTAGTAACCATTGATATTTTTGTGAGACGTACCTGCATCAATAATAATTCTAGGATACTAGATACATTATATAAAAGTATAGGATGTGTTGAAATAGTTACATTAAAAGGAAGTTATTCCTTTATTCAAAATCTATTCATCTTGAGAAAATTTGGTAACGCGGGCGGGAGTCAAACTCACGTCCACAGCCAAGCTGAGCGGTAGTTTTAAAATGTATGTAAAGTTAGCATGAAATCTTAATCGTATATTTAGGTCTAGAGAATTTAATATCAAACATACGTAATAATGTATCTTATCAAAACTATAAAATGTTTTATTAATATTCGATACATGCTTTCAAATGTTAATTACATGTTAAAATGGCACTACGTGTTCAGGTTTAATTATAAACGCACTCTTAGAGAATATAAATTTAATGGAAGTAAAAACGGACAATGCATTATAATAAAACCTAGTTTATTTCAATATTTTTCGGTTGTATTTTGTGCCAAGTGCTTTACGATTATGAAAAATATATTACCACGATGTTCACACAGCGTTCAATGTTTCTCAACTGTTAATATTAATTTCGAGCTATTAAAACACAATTAAACACTCGCTTTGCATAAAGTGGATTTGATAAATATTTAAACTTTATTAATGAAATGTGCATCGATGCGATACAATAGCGAGTAAATTAAAAGAAAAAAATAGTGTTTAGACGAATTCACCGCGGGCTTACTTGTAGGTAATTTTAAAAAATAATCTTTTACAGACTGTGTGCTAGTATAAAAAAAGTAATACAGGGTCCTTACAACATTCTTAATTACTTACTTACTTTAATATTCTTGAAAAAATAATGGTTTGAGACGTGAAATATTTATAAATTAAACTAGATTCTTTGTTTTTGTATTCAGCCTGACTCCTGTCTTAATTGGACTAGTGTTAGATTGGTGACAGGACGTTCATTTCACGCCACAGGTGGAGAAACATTTCTTATAACTTCCGCTAAAAATAAAAAAATAAAAAATGTGGATTCTTTATGTTTATATATTGTCTGTGTCGTGTATAGGTTACTACGACAGAATACATTTTATTAAAACACGTTTAATGGTTTAAAACCTGAAATATATTAGTTACCTTATTAAAATATTTTATAATATAATATATTTCGCCTTTTAAACCGTTAAAAGTGTTTCATTGTGTTGATTTTATCCGTGACCATCTATTTATCGCTATAGAAATGGGAATTTTTAAGATTTGGTCCTTGTCTTTAGAACACAGACTCAGATAATTTGTGTATTATAATCTTGTCTATACCTAGTTTAGTCTACACATAGACTAGTAATAATAATTATGAAATATCAGTGAACCATACCTTGTTAATCGAACGAGAACGTATTTGGTATGACAAATTGTTGACACACTTAACTGTTATAGTGGAAACAATATCTTTTATAATACAAGAATTATTATCTCTCCATCTCTGAGTGCACTACAATGAACAAATGGAGCTTTAGAATTTTATCGCGTATGCCTTATTGTAGATTGAGATTAGTACATCAATACAATCTAATACCTACTAAATATTATGTAAATACAATTAGTTTGCCATTTTCCCCTTTCTAATCTTCTACACCAGCCATGGGTTATGGGGTTAAGTGCATGGAAGGACAGGGTTTATTTATTCATTCAATAGTAGTGGTTTTTAAAAACCCACTTAAACAGCAAGATGGTTTGAAACAACGTGTGTATAGCGTTAATTTGTGTCTTATTTCTCTCATGTTTTTTGTATAATAGAACCGCCACTAAATATTTTACATCTGATGTATAAAAACTCGCCTAATAACAACCATACTGACTATTACAATATAGCGTGGGGAGTACCCTCGAGTACCCCAGTACGCTCCTGCAGTTGAACTACCGCCATCTTTTTGTGTGGGTAATTTTAACGTTATATTCACATAGTTTATTCAAAATTCGAAATATTTAACACGTTTAATCACAAGTCGACTTCTAAAGTTGAACTACCGCCATTTTTTTATGTGGGTAACTTTTACGAAATATTCACGTAGTTCGTTCGAAATGTGAATTCGCCAAGTTAGAATTTTTATATGATTGCGCGACTGTGATATATTATTAATGAAACGTGTTATTCAAGACACAAATGAGATACCATAAAACGATAATTAATTCGATCAGAGGCTTAATTTCACAACCGTAATGTATGCAAACGTACGCTGTCCTTCAAACTAGTAAACATCTTGAAAGCCTTTATCTGATGCGAAAGTCAGGTATGTTGCATAAAACCATGTCATCTGTAAACTCGTACTATTTTATTAACATTTAGTTATGGTACAATTGTGTACATAGCCTTATCCATCGAAACATAAACGGTTTGTATAGCTAAGTAGAGCAACAAAGAAACAAAAAGGTCATTGAAAGAGAACATCGTTCGTATACAGTCATTGTTATCAATATTAATTTAGTAAAATATACTTTTTTACTATAAAGACCTTTTTATTTAGAAGTAATATAGAGATGTCATAAATTTGAAAAATGTATCATAAAAAAAACTACTTAATCTCTTAAAAGTAATTAGGAATAATTTTAAATCTATATATGATATAATGGCAAAAGTAATATATTGAAATAAAACACTTTAACGGGTTAACACGCAATATATTTAAGTTAAACTCGTTTGATTAAAACATATCGCGTTTTAAACCGTTAAAATGTTTTGTTTTTTCAATGTATACTACTCGCGTAAACTACAGACAGTATTTAAAAGTAATATATAATATATATTACAGATAATGTGCATCTTAAACTGACGCAATAATTATATCACAGATCATAAATAGTTATACCATCATTCTATAGTCTATGAATGATGCGTACCAGATTAGACTAGTTCACCTTTCTTTCTTGGATTTCATAATCTTTATTGCAGTTTACGTTGTAAATTATAATGGAACCTCGGATAAGTGCACTTAAATAGCCAAGTACATCAGATATACATGTGCCGATAATTGAGTGCCTTTAGCATTTATATCAAAGATTGTGCCGCAGTGTTATTAGGAACAGTTGGAAGCCTTGGGCACAGATAAATATATATTTTTTATTGCGTCGTATACATGTATTACTAAAAAGACACTTTGCAGGAGGTCTTCACCCGACAGGGTCCCTTATAATTATTAGCTTCTGAGTAATTTATCTTAAAATAATCTAGTACATGTAAGCCATTTGTAAACATTTATTGTAAATTTTAAATATTCCATAATTCCTAATAGTTTTTTAAGAATATAAATGCCATTTATTTTATTTATTTATTGTTATGATAAAAACAGGGAGGCATTTCCCTTATCGACTCCGAAAACAAAGTGAATTAAAATGTATAATTTGTCATTTACATATTGATTTATTGATGTTTTTTTTTACAGGTCTATAAAAACTAGCAGCAGTAACTCCCTGGGTGTAAAGAATCAAGATGAAACCTTCTATAAACATACAGGTAAATATTGAGGTATTAAGTTATAATATGTATATTTCAACTTATGATTCGCTTAAAAATTTACTTTAGGAAACAAAACACAAAAATTTATTAGATAATTTTCAGTATCCGCATAGAATAGTTATAATAGCATCCCCTTTTGTTTCCACAAACCTTCTCTTCAACTTTGTAAATTTAACCCACAACGGTGGTCGCGTCCCATCGCTCTAGAATTTAAACTAAAAACAAAGATATATAGAGTCGCGGACATTTTTTTTAAAAGAAATCACTCTGATACTTATTTGTTGGGTATCTTAAACCGTTTTCACAGTGTACGCATCGGAGACTCACAAATATAAGTAACTTTCCACATTTTCCACATTTGCAGTTTGTTCGCTCTTATTAGTCACAGCGTGATGTTTATAGGCTATATTTATAAACATTTTTCAATAAATGCTCTAACCAAAAAAAAAAGGTTTTTTTCTTTATTTAAAGAAAGTAGGGCGATCAAACATACAAACAAACTCTTCAGCTTTATATATTCGTATAGTTAAAAAATAGGTGTAATGTGTTCAAAGGAACTGGGCTGAAATAGGTCGCAAAACCTTCACATTTTGTCCCTAAAGACAAAAGTCAAACTATTATATAACTTTTTTGAGAATTACCCCTACTAAATTGGACATGGCTAAACGAGATTAAAAGAATCCGATTTCTACGGCCTACTAATTTATATTGTGTAAGCGAATAATTTGTATCAATGGCTAGATTAGCTTTAATTTATGAATAGAATAAAAATCGCATTATTTAAATACGCAATATATTTTTATACCGGTTAGTTGAATTATTTTGAAGTGAATGAAATTTGACCACGTATTATCGTTGTAACCTTCTCTCAATGTGAGTGATTAGGAAAAATAAAGAAGAATCCTAATTTCATGAAATTTCGCCAGACTTTTATGATTCGAAACCCTAGACGTTGTGATCTATCCAAAAATTAAATGAGACAGTTTTACGCAATATTAGATAACCTAAAAAAAGTCAAGATTCGACGATAACTTTGAATTTAATGAAGCTGTTTCAATCCTCTGTAACCCGATGTGCTAACTATTCAAAAACAATGGTGATTGTTATTATTCCGTAATTTATTAAATTGAGATAGACGGCTTTAAGGCGTGTACTGATCGGGTTAGCTGCAATTGTAATCGCATTGTTACTACAGATTATTTTTATAGGCATGGGTTTATTCGAAAATGCCTAGCCTTATAGCATCTACTTCAGTACATTTATCTATCTTCAAACGTCTAGTTATATACAATTTAATTAATTTCTTTTCTACTATCCGTCGGGTCATGTCGGGTCATTATAGCGCATCTTAAAAACCTAAAATTAGACAAGCATTTAAGAAGACATTGACTATTTTTTCTCCTTCTTAATTTAAATTATATATCCATAGACTAAATCAGCTAAACTCAATAAATCCCAATTGAAAGTATTTAGATAAAAATAGATCATTGATATTCTATATTATGTCAATGACAGATTCACCGTTCGATTTTCCGTTGGGATAAAAATAAATATATGTATTTCTTGAACAATGCTTGGCGTAAAAGTGTAACTAGGCCATTCAGCCTCTAAAAATAATAATTAGTCCGTTATAATATTTACTGGCCACACCTGTCGTTATTCCCGCTAAATCCGCAAAAAATATTACAAACGCTGTGAAGATGGCGATTAAAGATTTGACCTTTTGTTTCAAACAGATCCTATCACAATATTTTTCAACATTGAATTGTTTAAAAGGCTCGTTTATTTTCTGTAATCGTGTAAAATATATTTCAACAAGCGTTTCGACATGCGCATGAGTATTAACATTATCAGTGCTATTTGTTTAGGCTATTTACGGGCCGAGTGAAGCTATTAGGGCTTATCCAAACTGTGATATTATATAGCTTATTGCAACTTTAAGTCAACAACTACTTGGAAAATATATTAGAACATACTATAATGGTTTAATAATAAATATTGTATGTGTGTTACGCGAATTGTACACATCAAATAAAACCCAATTTAACGGTTTAAATCGTAGATTTATTAGAAAATTGATTTTCCTCGAAACCACGGCAGCTAGAAAGTATCCATGATGTCGGGTCATGTCGGGTCATCAAGTAAAATATTTGTTTTAAGAAGGGGTATTCTTGAATTAGTGATATATGCTTAAAAAATAGTTGCGGTCGGATCGGACACAGGAATTGGATTACAGTTGCTTAACTAGGTATAATATATTGAGCGAAGGTACTTAAAAAAAAACAATTAAAATACTTTTTATTAGTATCAAATAAATGGTATTGTGTAATCTTATTCATATGAAGTTACTTTACTAATTGGCTCGGTCTACTATCGCTTCCCTGTAAACATAATATATGTGAAAGTTGTTCGTCCTTCCGTGATGTGTTTCTATATTATTTTTATATTCATTAATCCATAATAAACTGTATTATTATAAAAGTTATTGTTTATTTTTATATAATAAAATTAGTATAGACTGAGGCGGGCATAAATGGGGGTCTTAGGGAAGGAAAAATTAAATTAATTCCGTGTAGATAACATAAATGTTACAATGTATCTATATTATATATCCTAGAGGCCTGAATAAAATCATTATAATAAAACTCCTGTTTAAAACTCCAAGACCATGGCTGCTGATATATTTCCCGTTTTAAACCATTAACCATATTTTTTTGTTTTTCAATATTTTATCAATCATCAGATAGAGTCCAGCGAATGTTTAATGCGAGTAGTAGAATAGTAATAATGTTAGGCGCTGAATTATGCTATAGTCTGAAACCATTTTCAGTTGTTGACTTGCCTGGCGCTGTACGCGTCAAGCGTGCAGGCGATCATGGTGAAGTTCGGCACGAAGGGTGGTCCCATCGAGCCGCCCACGCCGGAGCCGCAGCCCGCCCTGCCACGGGTCTTCCGTGCGCCTGCGCCGGTCTGGGAGGAACGGTCTAACGACTCGCCCGATCCAAACGCTCATTGGTAAGTGTCTAATATTTCAAAGTGTATTCTTTTTAGATTATTATGTCATTACTGAATTTTGGTTTCGAAAATTGTTAAATATTTTACTTGCTGTAAAGTTAGTGTAATAAAATGTATCAGAAAATAATACAATAAAACAACTGTCTCTTAGAGCACCACTTCACTTGCCTAGTAATTAACAACTAGTTAAATTATGAATGAATACAAGTACTTACTATAATTAAAACACTTTAACGGTTTAAAACGTGAAATATATTAGTTCCTTATTACAAATTATTTTAACAACCGCCCGATGTGTCGGATGTTTTGCGGCAGCCATGCTCAGGGCAAACAAACTAAAAATAAATAAATATATATTTTTTTAATCTTCATAATTTAAATCGAATTTTATAAATTAATTCTCAATACTCGTGAAATATACATTTGAAAATGCGTGTTACTCTTATTTGTATCAGATGATTAAAATTTTAACTTAAGGTAGAATATTTAAAATAATTACTTTTTACAGGCGACCCTTCATTCCAAAACAAACGTACACCCAAGTCTTCTTCAACTCACCAGCACAGACACAGCAGCAGCTGACCAACGCGCAACGTTTCGTCAACTCCTACATTCCTAATCAGCCCAGGGCTGCACCAGGGGAGTACTTTAACCCCGGTCAAGTTCTTAGCTCACAGGCCTTACCTGGATTCGGTCTGAGGTATTTTGTGCCTACTAATGCACAAGCAAACTACAGACAAGAGGATGCGAAACATAATCTGGTGGAAATCAACCACGTTGAGAATGTAAGAGATTCATCCAGTGATCTCCTTTGGAAGTACGAGAAAGACGCGGTTAGGAGGACTCTGAGAAATACGCTGGAGGTATGTAGTTTTGCTATGTTTCTTAAAGTACAGATTTAAATGATAATGTTACGGTAAGTATCTTTTTGGAATGTCCTGAGATTACTAATAATTACCGATTTTCCAATTTGCACGAGGCACATATCTCTGTGTCGGTACACTGATGGATTTTTATTTAAATATTGGATCATGCTTTCTTTTCTGCCCGACTAGAACTATAATTTAGATTTCCTCAGATTTCTAACATAGAACCTAGGCTAGATAACGCTAGATTTTTACTTTTTGAGCTTCGAAGGCCGTCAATAAGTACGAGTACATTTGCTACTTTGTTATTACGTTATTTTATGTTATTACGGAAATTTCTAAAGGACTAAGGATTAACTGGTGTATTAATTGTGTTACTTATGTTTGGTTTATTTACTTATTATTATTTACTTTCTAGGAGTGTTTTAACAAAATTAATTTAACTTATATTGAATTATTTTAGGCCACAGCTCCAGTCTACCAGTGGCAATGGCCGGTTTATGTACAACCTCGACATTAGTAGTACATAGTTTAATGATATACATCATCGCAGTAACATTTCCTATTCCCTAAACGCACGAGAAACGACAAATCCGGTGATATACAAATAAGGATATGACATTTTGTATGAGTAATTTTTAATATGACTATATAAGTGACTACGACCTTCTTTGTGTTTGTTACGCAATTTAAACGAGTTTAATATTTCCAAAGAAGTTTTAATAGTCACGAGACGGGATTTAGGTGAAGAAGCTGGATTAGCATGCGCCCTTGAAAAATTTTGTCTTTTAATTTACCGTTTCGCGCTGTTTACTGTAACTGTAGTAATTTTGTCTTATCATTATTAGTTAAAATGTTACCAATCAGTCTAATATTTTAGTACTATCTAGTAGTGAAATATTATGGCCCGACGACTTATAGCGAGTAGTCTATACTTGATATATGTCGTATCGCGCACGCTAGCCCGGCTCGGAAGGATAAAAAACTTTTTACTGTGATGACTTAGTATAGTGTAGAGATAATAAACGTGCCAGATGTTTGTATCTAATATTGTAGTACGCCACCTCTCGATGAACAAATACGATTTACAAACACGATTTTGTATTTAGATGTTAAACTAAATTTAAATTAAGCGACGATGAGAAGTTTCTTATGATTTTTTTTTATAATTTGTTGTATTTTTGCGTCTATGTTCTACTTTTAAAATCAAACACAATTTATTAAATTCGTTTGGTTTTTTATTATATGATAAACGGCAATAATTATAAATATCATTGTCTTTTCAGGGTAAAAGAATTTTAAATTTTACGATTTTTTTATTAAAGCCGGGATATTTCTAGCAATTTTATTCGAGTTCTTCGGTGTTGGATGTAAAATACTGATGTATGTATTATAATAATTGAGCATAATAATTTAATCTAACTGATAATTGTGATAAATTGTTAAGGTAACAAGATTTAAACCATATTTACAAATGGTATGTGACGGTTTAAATCGAAGGTAAAAGTTATGAGTGGAAAATATATGTATAATTAAATTTAAAAGCGTGTCACAAATAAAAGTAATATCTAACACAATAGAAAATAATTACATCTGAACAAAACCTGCAACATAACATAACATTGTTACGTTGTTATTAAAATTATTTCGGTTATGTCGCTTAACGAGCGGAGAAAATGTACATTTACAAAATGACTAGAAAAAATTGTCATTACCAAAATGATCTATTGTAAAAACTTTTATGATCGCGTACCGTAACTAATTGTAACATAATGTTCTTGTTTAAGTTACATTTGTAAAAGTTGCTCTTATTCTTTAGTTTATTTCGTTACCTTGTTACTATAGTTTAAGCGTGTTAGTATAAAATATTGTAAATATGTATAATACAATTTTATTTCTTGATTGTGTTTTATTTTTTTTTATGACACACATGGCCTAATTTTTTTATCCCCTACATAGAATATTAACTATTGATGAACCTACTTAAAGATATGTTACTTACTACCTACTTGAAAATATGAAGAGAAAGGTTGTGTTGATATAGTATTGACTATTGTCTTCAATTTGTGGCGATTGGTATGATATAATAACACAGTTTCAACGATTCATAAAAAAAACAAAATAACCTAACTTACCTTGACTACTGACGACCCGTCAGATGATCTAAAGCCATAACGATGGTTAAAGTTCGTAAAGAATATTACATTTTTTTTTAAACTCATAGTTCTTCTTTTTTAAGAATTCTATATATCAGTGATAAAATAATACTATTTAAAACTAGATCCGTTCCAACATAGGAATCTTGATAAATGCTATAAATAAACAATTAACGGCCTGTTATTTGTAATAACCAATTACACTGTTTGGCGCGAGCCAGAAAGGTCAAGTGATCATAAGTATGGCCGATGAATTAGCACACACAGACGTTATAAATTACTTGAAATAACTGGTCATTAAGTGTAATTATTAGATCTGCTAACAATTTATTCGCACCGAAGTGAATGTATTTATAAAATTAATATTCCCGGATTTATCTGCAACATTCCCACGCTTTTCTTGAAGACAATATTCCGCTCTTAGGGTTTAACATTTAAACGAATAAATAAGACGAGTAACTTTGTAGATAGATAATTTAACAAACATGGTTATAAACCATATATTATGGATGGAGATAATATCTATACTAATATATAAATTCTCGGTGTTGTTTAGACTATTTACGAGAAACGCTATATATATATAGCGTTATAAAACATTGCCCTTTGACTAATACTAGCGAAGATACAGCGAGAAATGTGAAAAAAAAGGGAAAATTACTCATTATTATGGGTCTCCGAGGCGTACGCTGTAAAAACGGTTCAAGACAACCAAAAAAATATGTATGAAAGAGAGATTCTTCTTTTAATGATCTAAAAAATGTCTGCGACGTGTGTATCTTTTAAGATTCAATTGCAAGAACGACGGGAAGAGACGCGACAGACGTCGTGCGTAACAGCTTAAGTTTATAAAGATGAAGGGGTTTGCTAAAACCATATGTATGTGTTTTATGGTAGTGTAATAAAAAAGTACTCTTAAATAAATACTGTTACTAAACCGTTAGTGTTTCTTTTAAATGAGTACTACTCGCGTAAACTACAGACAGCATTTAAATGTATCCCATTAATGTATCTGTCTCACCCATCGATTTTATTCTTAAGTATGTAGTCGTTTACGCGTCTGCGCAGCCCCCGAACGAAACGATTTTTACCCACTGTGGCTACCCACTACCTATTAGCTAAACATGCAACATATGTTTCAAGAATAAATAAAATCTTCTAACAAAGAAATATAAAATAGAGACTATAATCATTTCACAATCAAGATGTTTGTAGGAAATATTTATACTATTCAGATTCTTAGAAGCACGTATATAAGAGACATGATACACTCATTAGTGTATAGCAATTAAATCATACTTGTAGTATAACTTCCGGCCATGTGTACACGTATAATTATTAATTGATATATACCTGTGTATAAATATCTAAAACTAGCTGTGTCAGCGACTTCGTCTGCGACAATCGTTATTTTGGGCATCCGAATTCGTTTTTGCTAACCCGACGTAGTGTGTAAGAGCTTAAGTTTATAAAGATGAAATTATAAACTTAAGCTCTTACACACTACGTCGGTCCCGTCCCTTTCCGTCGTTCTTGTAAGTTTATCTTAAAAGGATTTTTTTTTCGGACTTTATTGTAGATCATTCTAAGAGGAATCATTCTTTCGTATATATCTTTTGGGTATCTTAAACCGTACGTCGAAACCCACAGAGGTGAAAATTTTTCCCCGCTTTTGTCACATTTCCTGCTGCTTCTTCGCTCATGTCAGTCACAGCGCAATGTTTTATACCCTATAGCCTTCCTCCATAAATGTTCTAACTAACACAAATATTTTTTCAATTAGAACGAGTAGTTCTCGAGATATCCGCGCTCAAACAAACGAACTCTTCCGCTTTATATATTAGTATAGATTACTAGCTGACCCGGCAAACGTTGTTTTGCCATATAAATAATTTTCGATCGGAGAGGAAAAATGATTAAATTACTAAAATGGCTATTAAAAAATAAGGGTTGATCGTAGAAGGGAGAAAATTGAGGATTGTATGTATTTTTGTATGTTGTATCAAAAAGAAATTAAAAATTTTGTCTTAAAAAAAAAAACTATATTTAGGGGGATAAAAAATAGATGTTGGCCGATTCTCATAGATACCGGATAAGCACAAAAAATTACATCCAAATCGGTCAAGCCGTTTCGGACGAGTATGGCAGCGAAAACTGTGACATGAGAATTTTATATATTAGATTTATTTAAAGACTTACTTAAATCTGCTTAAAAAAGTTTCCTCTCGCATAAAAGATACAGGTTTAAAAAGTTCAAATCCACCGCAAGAATTGATTGGGAAGATTTTGTTTATGATTAGTCAAATATAACCATGACCTAAAATTACAGGACATTCAATAGACAATTTTCAATCATACTTGACTTAGAGACAAATAAAAGGCTAAACCACAACACATCTATGTATTTTTGGTACTAATTGGTTGGTAAGGTACTCAAAACATTAATTTATTTATCAGACACGGTCACGCAACTTACGATAAACATCATATTGTATTGTATTATCGCAATCGCGTGTTTTGAGGATCTCCCACGGACTCTCTTGTTAATTGGTTAACCATTCAATTGACCTGGTGTTGAGAGACTCTTCAACTAAAGTATAAAGAAATTAATATTAACGATCAAAGCTATCTGGGAGATTGGATATTTAAGTTACGAATCAAACTACGTGATTGAAACCCTAGTTACTGCGTTATAAATTTAAATTTGGAAAATAATTCTTTTTTTTCAATTTGTTGTTGTTTTGTTATGCTGATATTACACTGAAGTATGCTATTAATAAATTAATTCATCGTAATTTTCATAAGAACTCATCATCATCATCATGATTGGCTGTTCCACACCTTGTGGGCCCTAGATTCCTGTAGTCGCTTCCACCATCGCGATCTGTCCTGTGTTTCTGTTTCCAGTTCTGCACACTCAAGATTTCTAGCTCTTAAGCAAGTCCATCTCACTCCCGGTCTCCAGGGCTTTTGTTAGCCTCCTGGTTGTAAGTTTTATCTTTCATCGGCCATTCTGTGTATTCGTCCCCTTTAAGGCTGTTGTTTTTAATTAGTTATATAGATATAAATAGATTTCGATCGCTTAATGGTTGAAGGTATTGTGGTAAGCGTAAGAGGTCCTAGATATGAGTGCTGAGGTAACAACAATTTCGGTCGGCTAAGCATTGTCTGACTGTAGTTTACGCTAGTTTAAATAAAACACTTCAACGTTTTAATCATACTTTACTTAAATATCATTTTTCCTACAGTTGCTAAATTAATATTAAAAATATATATGTACAATCACTGATTCAATTTCTAAATATCTGCTGTTAATTTTGTCGTAATTTTTTAACGTAACAAAGAAACGTCGAAATATTATAAT